TTAAAAATTTAAGATTTTAAAAGTAAAGTGGTAGATCAATTCTAAAGAATAAAGTTGTAGATGAATTGAAAATTTAGAATTAGAATTAAAGTGCATCATTTAGAAAAGAAAATAAATCAAAAAAATATGGAGATATTTTATTTTCATTTATTTAATTAAATTAATGGAGTTATTATCTTATAAAATAAGAAAAAAATTAAAAATATTTCAAAAAATATATTATATTATTTAATTAAGTTATCTTGTAATCAAATTTTATTTTGTAATCATGTGGTTCGAACAATTTGAAGATAGGATCATACACCAAACCAATTATATCGATTTTAAAATTTTATAATTTATATCAACTCAATTTTATATTAATTTAATTTGATTTTTATTAGATTACATAAATTTAAGTCATATCAATCGGATTGAATTAGATAAGAACACCTATAAAAAAGATAACTATATATATATATTTTTTGTTGTTGTATAACTTATTATCCAACATACCTTAAAAGATAAAAAATTATCAATTCCCTAGCTTTGAAGTATATTACAGCATGTTAGGAATGACATCCGTAAGTTACAAACATTGCAGCCTTATTGCATGCTCATATTTTGATGTCTAGTTCAATTTACACACAAAAATGATCAACATATAAATGCTACGAATGATAGAAATTCACGCAATTTCAGTATCTACCAATAGGGCTGAAAAATAAGTGGCAGAGGTAGAAACAGAAGTAGCAAAATGGAGCTTGAACAACATCTGTCACCTTCCTTTCCCAATAATGTCACTGAATTCAGTGATATTCAATGGAGAAGCCTCCAGCTCCACCTCTAGATTAAGATTCTTCGTGTTCGTGTTATTACTGCGCTCAGATCTAGTAGATGGCGAGTGTTTAGCCTCGAAGCTGGCTGTTATGTCCTTAAAACCCCAATCAGTTATATAACTTGGTTTTGATGCAACCGGCCTCACTTCAATATACCTAGCAAGCATAGCTACAACCCTTGACCTGGGTGGTCGCATCATTGGTGATGCCTGGGTGCACAGGAGTCCCACTCTTATCGTTCTTAAAGCTTCATTTTCATCAAAGTCAACTAGGGTTGGATCCACCAAACCCAGACTCTGGTTGCTTTCATACAAAGTCCATGCCTAGAAACATTGTATAAGTGAATCTCTTGCCTGAGGAATGTGTCTATAAAGAAAGAAAAAGGTAAAAGAGTTTCTTTCTTCACCCATTCAAGAAGATAGATCTTGTCATTGTCCTGGCTGTTGTCATAGTTTGGTCTTCTACTAAGGATTTCCAAAGCAACAACACCAAAGCCAAAGACATCTGCCTTCTCAGTGAGGTGGCCACGCATTGCATACTCTGGTGCCAAATAGCCACTGCCAATATTGCAATTAAGCTATTAAATTTGCGTGTTGAAGGTTTATTGAGATGATTTCTCTATCTATGATACAAGTCTCGGATTCCATTGATGGTTCAATGCTCTGAAACCTAACAACATATAGAAGCTACAATATAATGCAAAAAATTAGATATTCTTTTGATCTAGTGATTCAAGGAGCTTACATGGTCCCTGCCACCCGAGTGCTGATGTGAGTTTTCTGGTCATCATATTGCTTTGCCAATCCAAAGTCAAATGCTTTCTGACAGAGCTCAGAATCAAGCAAAATATTACTTGCCTTCACGTCTCTGTGTATGATCCTCAGCCTTGATTCCTCATGAAGATAAACTAGTCCTCTAGCAGTTGCCAGGCAGATACTGAAGCGGGTTGGCCAATCAAGATGCAAGTCTTAATTTCCTGCATATTTGAGGCAGGAAATGTTATGGATAGTGATTAATTTGGTGAAGAAATGAATTGAGATGCAAATATGATTCATTTTCCAGCATAAAGGCTAAAAGGGAGAAAATAACTAGTTCAGTCATCCATATAGTTTAACAAGGTTGTATTGTATAGTCAAATAATTATATTATTATTAATTATTTAATGTTAAATAACAACCGTTAATTATTGTATAGTCAAATAATTATATTTATCGAAACTATTATAATTTATATATCATCCGTTACTTACTTTTTGTTATTTGTCATCTGTTATCTGTTAATTATTATTCGCTATCAGTTAATCATCATTAACTATCTCTGCTATCACTATCCGTTATTCGCTATTCATTATCTGTTATTCACTATCTATTAAATTTTAATCATTGTACCAAATAGGATTTTAATCCGGTGACGAGTGATGACCCTTTGCTAGTTTTCCGCAAGTTTGCTTTTGTTATTTTGACGTGGATGACACTTTCACTCGAATTAGGTTTTCTACTTTTTTATAAATACTCATTTAACGGCAGCACTTAGAGAGAGCTTTCGGGGAGGGTTTTGACCACATTTTTTCGGGCATTCTTGTACACTAAATTAGAGGTGGTATGAATTTATCAATAATAAAAGATTAATAAAGTGAATATTTTTAAATTGAGTTTTGTTTTGGTTTTTTTTTTTTTAATTTTATTTTTTTTTGTTTTGATATGCATTCTTGGTTCATAAATATAATTTTAAAATTTTCAAATCAAATTACATATTAAAAATATAGTTTGATTATTAAAATTATTAAAATGTCCTTATTGAAACTTTTTGTTATGTTTATTTATTAAGGGTAATATTGTAATTTTAATATTAAAACTATACTTTTAATATACCATCTATATTTAAATACATGAATCTCTAGATTTTAATATTTTT